TACCCGGCGCAGTTTGGTATCAGGGTCTGACCAGACATCTCCCCCGCCTCTGCCACAGGTGAAGCGGATCCACGAGTACAAGCGGCAGCTGCTCAACTGCCTGCACGTCATCACCATGTACAACCGGATCAAGAAGGACCCGTCGGCGCCGTTCGTGCCGCGCACGGTGATGGTGGGCGGCAAGGCGGCGCCGGGCTACCACATGGCCAAACAGATCATCCGGCTCATCCTGGCCGTGGGAAACATCGTCAACAACGACCCCGTGGTCGGCAACAAACTCAAGGTAATCAGCGGGGTCTGGGTATCGTGGAACTGGACATAGCCTGCCTACGATCGCCAGACACGGAATTTCGGTCGGTCGTGAAGATCTGTCGATGGTTACGAGCGAGCGAGCGCAGCCGGAGCGAAGCGAGTCTTTTCAATATAACGGAAAAATATCAGTATGAGCGGCCCGGCCCGGCCCGGCCCGGCCTGTAACGCTTTTGAGAGGCTTATATCTCAGCAACCGCTGGACTTTTTTGCTCAGCCTGCGGTCTTTTTTGCTGGGTAGCCCCATCCCTTCTACCCCGTAATTGACTACTTTTGATACATCTCAGTGACCGTCGTGGCACGTGCCACGTGAAAAGTCAAGGGTGTGCAAGCTGTTTTGCAAAAGTAGTGATTTTGAGAGGCTCATATCTCAGCAGCCGCTTGGGCGATTGACTTGCGGTAATTTTTATAGGGTAGCTGCATCCTTTCTACAAAAAATAGGATACTCTCGATGCATGTGGGTCACCCCCAGTGCACGTGCAAAATACAACAATAAGAGGTGTCAAATTTGTTCCCATTTTAATAACTCGGTATTATTACTGGGGCGATTTCGCTGAAACTTGGCATACAGGTAGGCACCCACCAGGCAATGCATTCCCATGTGTTGCGGTTAGGGTGCTACTGCACGTGCGCACGTGCAGGGGGCGCTTCCAGATCTCGAGAACGGCTGGGCCGATTGCGCTCAAATTTGGTACACGGTTGGAGACCGGTTAGTAGGGTGCCGTGCAAAAGTCAGTTTGGACCCCGTTTGCACGTGCGCACGTGCAGAATGCCGCTTCCAGATCTCAGGAACGGCTGGGCCGATTGCGTTCAAATTTGGTACACCGCTAGCGACCGGTTAGAAGGGTGCTTTGCGCAAGCCCGTTGGAAGTACCCTCTCGCCCTTGCGCACGTGCAGGGCTCACTATCTCGCTCGCTCGTTCTTCGCCCAAAAGGCGTTTTACTGGTTATACTTTATTTACGTTTGTAAGTATGTTATTGTGTGACTAGACCGGGCCTGTGAGACGACTTTCTGACCGTCCGTTTTGCCATTTCGTATCCACGTCTGTGCGCGCCGCGTCGTGTCGTTTATCTGTGAGTGTAATCCGCTCTCCCGCTATCCGTCCTGCAGGTGATCTATCTGGAGAACTACCGCGTCACGCTGGCAGAGCGCATCATCCCGGCGGCCGATCTGAGCGAGCAAATCTCCACGGCCGGCACCGAGGCGTCCGGCACGGGCAACATGAAGTTCATGCTGAACGGCGCGCTCACCATCGGCACGCTGGACGGCGCCAACATCGAGATGCGGGAGGAAATGGGCGAGGAGAACATCTTTATCTTCGGTGGGTGACACAGCGCCGCCGACCGCCGAGGGGTGGGCTCGGGCGACACAGGATGTTTGGACATCATCAGTAGGTTTCGCGCCCCGCCGACCGCCGAAGGGATGGGTTTCGGTGACGAGGAGTGTTTGGATATCTTCGATGGGTGCTGGGGCAGCTGGGATGACTCGAAAATGACTCAAAAATGGAGCTATTATACGGGGATGTCCTAGTATCACAATTCACAACCCTTTTTCAAAAGGTGACGTTTTATTCTGCTCTTTTAGGACGTGCTTCTTATATTGCAACAGCATGCTCCCCTGTTTTTGTCCCCGTCACTCCTTTGTCTCTCCCTCCCATTCCTTCTCCGTTTCCCCATTGCCCTCCCTGTCACACTCCTTTCGTCTGCCAGCCGAGTCGCCGTCGGACCGCCAGTGACCGGTAAACCTCGCCCTGTCCCCCGCCCCGCCGGCGGACCGTCAGTGACCGGTAAACCTCGCCCTGTCTCCCGCCGGCGGACCGCCAGTGACCGGTAAACCTCGCCCTGCCCCCCGCCCCGCCGGCGGACCGCCAGTGACCGGTAAACCTCGCCCTGCCCCCCGCCCCGCCGGCGGACCGCCAGTGACCGGTAAACCTCGCCCTGCCCCCCGCCCCGCCGGCGGACCGCCAGTGACCGGTAAACCTCGCCCTGTCCCCCGCCGGCGGACCGCCAGTGACCGGTAAACCTCGCCCTGTCTCCCGCCGTCGGACCGCCAGTGACCGGTAAACCTCGCCCTGTCTCCCGCCCCGCCGGCGGACCGCCAGTGACCGGTAAACCTCGCCCTGTCTCCCGCCCCGCCGGCAGGCATGAACGTCGACGAGGTGGAGGCTCTGAAGGCGCGCGGCTACAACGCCCACGAGTACTACAACAAGCTGCCCGAGCTGCGCCAGTGCATCGACATGATCAGCAGCGGCTACTTCTCGCCGCACGACGTCAACCAGTTCAAGGACGTGGTAGACATGCTGATGAACCACGACCGCTTCCTGCTGTTTGCCGACTACGAGTCTTACATCCGCTGCCAGGACGAAGTCAGCAAGCTCTACATGGTGAGTGGCGGCCGCTAGCGGCGACTCGAGGCGCCGGCTGTGCTCAATTTCTGGGTTTACGTAGACGATTTCATCATATCAACTTCCTTAGCTGCATCATTTCGCCTTAGTTCTACACATAGTGAATATATCGAGCCTATTGGTGTGTCACTGGTTGACAAAAATATCTAACTTTTGTTGGTTACTTTATTGTCATGCAATGGCTAGTTATTTGCCTAAAACAGCCAAATATTCCGTAGAATTATCTATTTCTGACGAGGACATCTCATGTATCTCCTTTTGTTTATTGTTCGCTAATAGTGAGTCCTTGTTGAAATGAATGCACCATGAAAAGGGTAGATAATATTAGGACACGTGCCTCAGACCATGTATTCCAAGGACGCGCCCGCCGGCCGCGGTCCGCCGGCGGCTGTGGGCCGCGCGGGCGGACCACCGGGTGCCGTGGTCAGTAGTACCGCCGGCCGCCGTATCTCCGTGTCTCGGACCGGGTGAGCGGGTCCGCCGTCCGGCCCCGGCCCCACGTGTCGCCTCTGACCGACCCCGTCCCGCCGGCCGTGTCCACAGAACCAGGACGCCTGGGCGCGCAAGGCCATCATGAACATCGCCTCGTCGGGCAAATTCTCCAGCGACCGCACCATCGCCGAGTACGCGCGCGAGATCTGGGGCGTGGAGCCGAGCATGGAGAAGCTGCCGGCGCCGCACGAGCCGCGCGAGTAGGCCGCTGGACCGCCGTCACTGCCGGCGCCGGCCGCTCGGTCACCTGCTGCCTATGCCGTGTGCGTGTGTGTGTGCCGAGAGGCGTGGGGCGTGCGTAGCATTGAGGGGCGGACGCCGAGTCTCAGGTCAGCAGTGCGCCGTGTGTGACAATATCTGACGTGCTATTTTGAAAATGAGAGGTCAGTTGTCCTGAGCCAGATATAGTGTATGTACTCAAAATTTGATATTATGTGCTGAACGTGTTTTAGCCCACTGTCGAATGCAATGTTGACAATAATTAGCCGTAGTTTTGGTGGCAATGCAAGCTCATCTGCATTCGGGGCTCAAAGTTATTTTAGGAGATATTTATTTTTCATATGGTTTCTAATATTCAACTTTGCTTATAGTTACAACTTTGTTCTATGCTATACTGGAGGCTTCGGCATATTTGTAGTGCTAGCGACTTATAATAAAATGCGTGAGTGGTTATAACTACGGGTTTGATGGTTATGTGAAACCAGTCTTGGAGCCTGATCACGAGTCGGAGAGCAGTGGACAGTGACACTATAATTTGACTGTCTGAAACCCCCTACATGTCGAGGACGGTGTAGGTCTCCAGTCTCTGTGGCCCGGAGCGGTGACCTCTCCAATACCCAGTCTGTGGCCCAGAGCGGTGTCCTGGCCAGTCCCCAGTCTGTGGCCCGGAGCGGTGTCCTCTCCAATATCCAGTCTGTGGCCCGGAGCGGTGTCCTGGCCAGTCCCCAGTCTGGCCCCAGTCTGCGGCCCGGAGCGGTGTCCTCGCCAATACCTATTCTGTGGCCCGGAGCAGTGTCCCCGCCAATACCTAGTCTGTGGCCCGGATCGGTGTCAGCCAGTCCCCGCCAGTCTCCAGTCTGTGGCCCGGAGCGGTGTCCTGGCCAGTCCCCAGTCTGTGGCCCGGAGCGGTGTCCTGGCCAGTCCCCAGTCTGTGGCCCGGAGCGGTGTCAGCCAGTCCCCAGTCTGGCCCCAGCCTGTGGCCCGGAGCGGTGTCCTGGCCAGCTCCCAGTCTTTGGCCCGGAGCGGTGTCAGCCAGTCCCCAGTCTGGCCCCAGTCTGTGGCCCGGAGCGGTGTCCTGGCCAGTCCCCAGTCTATGGCCCGGAGCGGTGTCAGCCAGTCCCCAGTCTGTGGCCCGGATCGGTGTCAGCCAGTCCCCGCCAGTCTCCAGTCTGTGGCCCGGAGCGGTGTGCTGGCCAGTCCCCAGTCTGGCCCCAGTCTGTGGCCCGGAGCGGTGTCAGCCAGTCCCCAGTCTGTGGCCCAGAGCGGTGTCCTCTCCAATACCCAGTCTGTGGCCCGGAGCGGTGTCCTCGCTAATACCCAGTCTGTGGCCCGGAGCGGTGCCAGTCTCGGCGCGGTGACCGGGTCAGTGTGTGCCGTACGGCTGCCACCGATCGACTTAGCCCCGGCACGGAGACACACGCGGTCACCCGGTGCTCTGACGGCGTCCTTCGCTCGCAGTCCGCACACCGCCGGCGGCCGGACCTTGGTGCCGCGCTGCCGGCGGGCACTGGGTGCGAGTGGCCACCGCCACTGCGCGATGGACAGGATGACCGCCACGAGTTCAATATGCAGCCGTTAAAATGTAGGTTACCGTATATATTTATAAACAGCCGTCCCAGAACCCAATGCCGCAGTGCAACCATGTCAATACGTGCCCACTGTTACAGACTGATGCCGGAACACTGCGAGTTGTCGCAGGACATCTAAGGACCCGTCCGCCTCTGTCTTTATTCGTGTTAAGGCCATCTGAGCTGCGCTAACGCCAGGCACGTGGGCTATGTGTCGGCCACGCGAGGCGAGGGTAGCCGTCTCAGTGAGGCCATCAGTCGGACGGACGTCGAACGACCACAGCGCTGCATGCCAGCTACGCACAGATACAGGTCTACGTTTGATTGAGAGGCAGCACCCGGGGTAGTCTGTCCGTGACCCCCCCCCCCCCCCACACACACACACACAGACGCGCGTGCACGCACACCTGTTTCCCAAACAACGAGCGAGGTTCACAATACACGACCTCCGCGGCTTTCCTCGCCGCTTACACACCCCGGTAACCACCGACACGCACATGGCGCCTTATTGCTTCTCTGCGGGTACCGTCGGACAGCGCCGGACCAAGGCACGGGACACTGGAGCAGGCACCATGGCTCGGACGTACCGCGGGGACACAGCGCGCTCAGCCTCTATGAACACATAGTCAGCAGTAAAACCGTAATAATCCCCGGGGTAAAACAATATTAAGTCGATTACACAGTAATTAAGTGCTCCACGATTAATGAATCCGGCACCATACAGGCATGTCCAAGGCTGGCAGCGGCACCGACAGGCGTGGGTGTCTGTTCGTCTGTGCTGCCCTATCAGTGCCACCGATTAAGCGTATATCACCTAGCCTCTCGAGCACCATGTCACGCCGCTCAAGCCGATAATCAACTCGTTACACAGTGATTACATCGTACTACAGCTTCCTAACTTCGTATAATAAATATAATTCGGTTCCAAAGGAATGCTTAGAAATGGCGCTAATTACAACTGGCACCTGTTATTGCCTTTTTCGCTCCAATAAGAGCGATACTGCCGGTTGAAGGACTGCTGGTGATTGTCATGGGATTCTAACAGCGCAAGAAGAAGGGAAACATCAATATGGAGTGTCTTAGCGGCTCTTTGAACCCTATCACCGGCTGCTCTTTGTGAATTACGTATAGGGACTTCAAGCTACCGGTATCTGTCAAGCCTCGCCGACCTCAGGCTGCCAGTAGATGGGCCGGCCAGGTCTCCCGGCGCCCACAGCGTGCCTAGAACTGGATGAGATCCTTCGAGTTGGGCTGGAAGAACACCGACTCGATGACGACATCTCCTCGCACGTCGATGGCGTCCAGGGAAGCCTTGGAGAGCCGGTGCGGGTACTTGACGAGGAGAGCGCCGTCGACGAGCACCTCCCAGGAGCCGGGCCGGCACACGAACCTGGCGGAATAGGGGACTGTCACTGGTCACAGAGGAGGACAGAGACAGAGAGACAGACAGGGAGCAGTAACGGTGCGCCGTCGACGAGCACCTCCCGCGACCTCACCTGAGCCGGACCGGACGTCCCCCGACCTCACCTGAGCTGGAACGGACGCCCCGCACGGAACGGGAACCCCTCCGGCCGCTGCTCGCGACCCCAGCCGGCAGCCTTCGTGTTCAGCACCATGATGTCGAAGTTGTTGTTCACCTGCAATCGGGTGGGGAGGGGGAGGGGGCAGTGTGAGGCGGGACTCTACTGAATACTGTCCTACGAATACGGGGAGGGACGGTGAGAGGCTGGACTGGACTGACCCTGGGAGACAGTGGAGTGTCGGACTGAACACTCGACCGAACACTGATTGAGAAGACAGTTGGGAGGCTGTCCCCTGGGAACCTGAAGACACAAACTGTCCTCTGAAGGTCTGAGTACGGAGATACTGACCTCTGAGGACCGGCTTAGAGCAGGAATACTGTCCTCTGAGGGTCTGAGGAGGACAGAGATACTGACCCCTGAGGACCTCAGATCCTGTCCTCTGAGGACCGAGGACATATTCATTATTCATGAAGGCGGCGGCCCTCACCTGGAACCGGGGGTTGAAGTGGAGAATCACCTCCGGCTCCGGATACAGCTGACTGCCGTGACGCAGGTCCACGAAAAACCTGGACGAGAGAGAAAGGGAAACGATAAAAACGAAACATTACTGATAAGGTAGGAAAACGTGCTGAATGCTGATGTGGGAAGCTCGCGACAAGTTAATATAATAAAAAAATCTGAGTCGAGATGCGATTATGTTAAAAACTAGGAGTCATCAGTCAGGGCATATTTTGAAGAACGGCAGAACCGATAAGTTAAACTGGATAAAAACATGAAATTAATAAGCCACAGATTTGTTGCCAACTATGGAACCGAGATGCGATGCCTACCAAGATGGAAAACTGCGCAGCTGAGACACGGTTTATGTGATGCTGTCTCGTGTCAGCCCGGTAGTTAGCGATACAGAAACAACCCAACCATTTCACCACGATCATCCTGAGTCTGACGACGAGCCATGCCCCCGGCACCGACTCACGAGAAGGGCAGCATCTTGACGCGTCCGGTGAGCCGAATCTCGCCGCCGTCCTGGATCGGCTCCGGCAGTCGGCACGGGAACTCCTGTGGAAATGTCGCGGCTCGGTGACGGACGCTGCCGCGGGGCAGATACTGCCGGTCTGTCACACAGCGGCGGGAGTCGCGGGGTATTGGGAGGAGCGACAGACTACAGGGCACAGTCACACTATGTTCTGGTGGTGCTCAGGTCTCTGCTGGCCGGTGCCACCCCACCAGCTGAGTCTGCAGGTACCCACCAGCTGAGTCTGTACTCTACAGGTACCCACCGGGTGTGTCTGTACTCTGCAGGTACCCACCGGGTGTGTCTGTACTCTGCAGGTACCCACCAGCTGAGTCTGTACTCTGCAGGTACCCACCGGCTGAGTCTGCAGGTACCCACCGGGTTTGTCTGGAGGTACCCACCGGCTGAGTCTGTGTTCTGCAGGTACCCACCGGCTGAGTCTGTAGGTACCCACCGGCTGAGTCTGCAGGTAGCCGCCGCCGTCCGCGGCCAGGGCGAGCGCCGGCGCCGGCCGCGGCGGGTACACACGCACGTCGTCGGCGTACCCGACCGCCTCTAGCTCCATGGTGCCCGTGCAGTGCAGCGTGCTGGCGCGGGAGGGCGGCGAGCGAGCCCGGAACGTGGCAAAGTGGCGCCCGTCCACCGCCAGCTGCCAAAACACGGGGGGGGGGGGGGAGGTCGAGTTAGTGCCGGTGGTGACACATGGTACCCGACAGTCGGTCAGTAACAGTGGTGACACGGGGCACAGTCGGTCAGTAACAGTGGTGACAGAGGTGGCAGCCCGGTCACAGTTGACTGAAGGACACAGTCTGTTACCGATAAAATACTTAAATGTTCGGTGGATAGGCCCATTGACGGGAAAACAGATCACTTGGGTATATCCTCGCAAAAAAAAATCCTCGGAAACTCGCTTTTCACAGTAAGCTGTTAAAACGAGGAGTGTCCAGAATAAGACGCAACTGACCCGGTACGTTTCGTCGACGCAGAAGATGGTGAGTTCGAACGGCCGGCCGGGTGTGAACGGCATGGCTGGCTGGCCACAGATCTCCTCCGTGCCCCAGGCACCCGACTGGGGGCGGGCGGGGGGGGGGGGTGAACGACATGTCTCCTCCGTCCCCCACCTACCCGACTGCAAGATTACCCCGACTGTAGAGGGAGGGAGAGTAAATGGTACCGACTGTAGAAGGGGGGGGGGGTGAACGACAGATCTTCTCCCGTGCCCCAGCTACCCGACTGTAGGCGGGGAGGGGGGGGGGGCGACATGTCTCCTCCGTCCCCCAGGTACCAGACTGGGGGAGGGGAGGGGAGTGAATGGTACATATCTGACTGGGGGAGGAGGGGGGGGGAGGGTGAACGACATGTGTCCCCCGAACCCCTGGTACCCGACTGTCGGAGGGGAGGGGGGGGGGGGGTGAACGACATGTGTCCCCGAACCCCTGGTACCCGACTGTCGGAGGGGGAGGTGTGAATGGTGCCTGGCTGCGCAGGCGCGCGGGAACCGGGGGGGGACAGTGGGGGCAGCTTGCCCCCCCCCCTCCAACTCTGGGGCCGTGGGGGCGGTGCCCCCACAACTTTGAGACGGAATACTGCACTTTTTGGAAATATTTTCTTTTTTGTTGAAAAAGCCAAGGGATGTAAAATAAGTGGCCTAACAACGGAGAGAATACTAGATTTGGGGGTATCCTAGGTTGATCTCTATGATGGTGTGCCCCCAGTCTGAAAGTAGTTCCCGCGCCCCTGCCTGACTGCGCGAAGGAGGGATGAATGAGACAGACTGGGAAGGGGGGAATGGGTCAGACTGAAGGTGAAGGGGAGATGTGTAAATAATGTGATAGAGACTGCAGAATGTAGGTGGAGTTGTGGGGAGGAATGACAACTGATTACGGCCAATCCTTGATTACCTATCCTTCCCCATTAAAACGTTTCCTTTTCGACAAAGCATTCTAACGTCCATCAAATTCTGTAACTAAACCAATATGACGCACTGATATAATTGTATTATTTGTCTAGTGCGATACGGCCTTGTGAAGAGAGACTGGAGCCCCTACTCTATTCACTGCTGGTAATGTGTGTCAGAGGTCTCCGGGTCTGAGCTGTCCTGCCGGGCCCAGATGGGGGGCCGAAATGTCCGAGATACAGCGCTACTTTACAGCGTCTCACCAGTCACAAACAGCCCACGGTCCGAGACGGCGCTAGCCGGGCCTCACCAGTCGCGAGTTGCGCACCACATGACCGAGGTCATGTCGAGCGTCCACGTGCAGCGCGATGTCGTCTCCGATGCCTCCGTTCAGCAGCTCCACCTTCCATCTATCGGGCCGGAGGGGGACCACAGAATCAACACACAAGGTCGCCAGCGAGCCGGTCAGGTCAGTCCGAACCCGTCTACCGACTGCTGGGGTGAGAGTGAGGGAATGGGCGAGTGAGTGAGGGGGAGGGAGAGGGAGGGAGGAGAGAGAGAGAGAGAGAGAGAGAAAGAGAGAGAGAGAGAGAGAGAGAGAGAGAGAGAGAGAGAGAGAGAGAGAGAGAGAGAGAGAGAGAGAGAGAGAGACGGGAGAGAGCGAGAGAAACAGACAGGCCGGCGGAGGATTTCACAGTTCAACAGAATATTACGCGATATGCTTCACTGATCATTCACCAAACAGGCGTGGATACTAAATGCAAACATGTGGACGTGCGCGCTGTAAAGCATGACGCGTCAGACGTTCAGAACAGAGGTCACCTCCGATTCTCGGTGGACGTGACCGCACTATCTGCGTGACGCAGCCGCTCGTGCAGCAGAGGCAGGAGTGACTCGTAACGCGCTAACTCGTTACAGACCATGATCGAGACGCCCATGGATGGCGCTAACATCTGCCGCGCAGTGCACAGTTCCGGGTTCGCAGCTATGGTCTTTTTTTAGCCCTTTCAGATGTCGAATTCAAGTGTCAAATGCTGCAATGACCAGAATGACGATGATGACTATTGAAGTTAAATAGCCGTATCGGAAGGAATGACCTTGCAGTTAACGGATGTTATTATTTGTGAGCTAAGACAGATAGACGGTTTCGCCTCAGCCATCAGCAAAACAATTACGGAATCAAATAAGAGAAGAGTAATTGCAGGATTTCCTAATTGCGTACGCGGCATTATCTGCCAACCTTGTGGATATATAGTCTCTTATCCGATCTTTTCCTATCTAAGTATCTACCGCCACTAACAAAAATTACCGTATGTAAATCGGTCAAGTGGTTGCTGAGATATAGGTAAGACTCGCAAAAGCGTCCGCACGGCCGGCCGGCCGGCCGTGCGGGGCCGGCCGTGTAAATTTAGTGCCTTGGTCATGCTGATGTTCCAGACCCCCCCCCCCGTCGGCGACGCCCCTGACAATATAGTTTTGAGTTGAGATAGCCAAAATGGGGTCCCTGGCTTGCACTTACCGGCTTGAGCATTCACAACATCGAGAAATGCTTCAAATCGAAAATATCTCATTTTAAAGCTGCAGCACTTTGGATTCAAAGGGGCTAATGCCTAATGCATTAGAATGCCCCCTCTGAATGTGTGACGTCAGCGCAGTTTAAATTAGAGGTGGCAAAATGTGGACCCGAGGACCCGGTCCAAAGAACCAGTCTGGACCCATATGGGTTCAGACCGGTTCCTGAAAATTTTCTGACGGGTCCAACCGGGTCTTACCATAAACCATACATCTTGCGCACTGCGCATGATTGCAAAATATGAAGTGATGGAAAGAAAACATTTGCTCATGTATGCTCCTTTCCACACTGTAGCTCATATGGCAGATCCAGCGTTTATGTGTAATTGAATCCGTCAATCAAAGTTTTGAAATGCTATTTACTCGTTAGTCTGAATTATCTTAATTCATTTTTCTTTCATTATTAATACATCAAGTTTCCTGTTCGTCCGTTTTATTCCGTCCTGATTCGTCCTGATCCAGTGTCAATCCGTCCCTAAAATTCCCAGACAAAAATGTACAATTTCATATACACAATCCCGAGGTGCTATTCTGTCAGGCGCTTCCGCCAGACAGTCGATAATGAAATTCAAACTCGCCGAGCTGTAACATCCTCCCCCCGGTAAAATCAAACTGATTTTGCTCATTTTCGGCAAGTTTTCGTCTCTCCGAATCTATAGTAGGACAGTTTGTAGATGACGCAGTTGAGCAGCGTCCGAGAGCCGCCAGAGTCGACGTGGAACTCGCCGCGCTCCGTGAAAAAGTCGTTTTCCTTGATGTCCTGCGGGTGTTCTCCCTTGGCGATACGCCCCATCCAGAGAAACTTGTTGATGTCGTCGCCCGAGTAGCGGATCATTCCGCTGAAGATCACCAGCACGTAGTCCACGTCGAGTGCCGTCATTATCTGGTAGCCGGCACTCTCGTTGGACGACATGACCTTGCCTACCAGCGCGATGTGGCTGTTGTTCCACGTGTTGTCGTCCACCAGCGTGGTGCGATTGGCCATGCCCGCTATCTGATAGCCGTAGTCCCACAGGGACATGACGCGGGCGTCCTCGGGCATGTTCTGCCACAGCCAGTAGTAGCCCTCGCAGAAATTGTCCAGGATGTTCCTCTCTCCGCCGCTGTAGGAGGCCAGCACGATGCTGGAGCTGCTGTAGGCGTCGCTGGTGAGCCAGGTGCAGTGGACGGCGAACATCATCAGTATCGTTATGACGGCCACCAGGCTGAGTGTTTGCACGTTCATGCCCAGTCCGTCGGACTCGGCCGCCTGCCGCTGGTGGTGCATCTTGCGCAGCTTTCCGGCCTCCGGTGCACGCTCAGAAACGCCGTGCTCCAGGTATTGTTGCATGGCTTGCTCATGTTCAGATCGTCGCCCGGAACGGTCCAGAGACATCTCGCATCGCTCCTGACACTTACGAGCCAATCCTTCATTTGATGGAACGTCGTCAAAGTCCGCTTTGGTGTGCCAGCGCACCTCGTATCTTCCGTTCGCGTTACGTGAGCAGGTCTGTTCAAAGTGCCGAACTGCTGCGCTCTCGTCAGCTCGCTTCTCTTCTACTTTCGATGGAAACGATGGAGGTTCTATTCCGATGGATTCCAGCGTCCACAGCCGCTCCCTGTCTTCTTTGGGTGTCCCAGCGTGTAGAAACATCACGCTTTGGTCAGGAGCTGTCCCATCGGTGGTTGCTCGTCCTCCCAGCACCCAACCGAATATTGTCTCCCAGGCGACTGGACCATCCTCTCCAGTTGTCACAGGACCATTCACGATATCCTGATAGTAATCCATGCCGATTAGGACGTCGATATCATCGGAGTGCCATTCAGCCGGAGAATCGGCAAGGACTAGGTCTTTCAGAGGTTTGTACCCTTCCAGGTCGACCGGCGCCTCATTGAGTGGGCCGCAGATGCGGTCGATTTCTGAGACGGTCAGGTTCACATATTTCATGGGGTCGCGTGTGTTCATCAGGGTGATGTTGACCGACCTCATACGCTTCTGTGCCATGCGATTTCCACCGAATGTTGATATTGTTTTTTGCTGCGTACCGCGCTGTTCACACTTCAGCTCCTGAGAGAGACCGGTCGATATGAATGATTGGTTGGATCCGGTGTCCAGGAGGACTCTGATATTCTTGTTGCCGGCGGGTCCAACAGCCACCGCCCGAGCTGTTTGAAACAGAACCCTCTTTTTCTCCACGACCTGTGACTGCGCCGCAATGATCGACTCTGCAGGCTGTTCTTCGGCACACAACATAATGTGATGTCTTTTACCACAGCTCTCACACCGCTTCTCGTCGTTGCATGTCCGTGCGATGTGCGATGGGCCCAAACAGTTGAAACAGGCCCCAGCGGCGAGAAGCCGTCGCCGACGCTCATCCACAGATAGCGTTTCGGTCTTCTTGCATTGCACGGTTTCGTGTCCTAAGAGACAGAAGGCACACTTCGGCGTTTTCTTGGTCATGACCTGAAGTGCAGCGGCGGATGAATTCACCGGTACCAGCGTCGCTTGGGAGGGGACCCTCCAGCTGCGCTTCTGACTGGCACCCTTTTCTGTCATGCGCATGCTGTGAAGGGTCTGCCCGCTGGCTGTCAAGAATTGTTCGGCGGCACATGAGATTTCCTCTAACGTACCGTGGCCGTTCCGTTTCAAGAAGAGCTCTAGTTCTTTTGGGCACGCCGAGAGGAACTGTTCAATGAGCGTCAGCTGTCTGAGACCATCCAGCGAAGCCCGAATTTCGCTCAGCGACATCCACTTCTCCAGGTAGGTAGTCAGGCGAGTGATGTACTGGCCCGGCGTCTCGTCTGGTTCTGGAGGAGATTCACGTAGTCGCTTGCGGAAGCCTTCGGCAGTTAAGCCAAATCGTTTCAGTAATGCCTCTTTGAGTACGTCGTAATCATCTGCTTCTTCTGCGCTCAATCGATGATACACTTCTAGGGCTTTTCCAGTTAGAAGTGCACTGAGGGATACCGCCCAGTCATCTCGGTCCCAATCACTCCCCTGTGCTATTCTTTCAAACCGGGTTAGATATATGTCTATATCTTCATTTTCTTCGTATGGAGGGAGTTTCGGCAACTTCCTGGAAGTTACAGGCTGGTTCACTTTGGAGCTATTACTTAGACGAAGCTTTTCGAGTTCGAACTGTCTTTCTTTCTCCCTTTCCTCACGTTCTCGTTCTTTTTCTCTTTCTTCACTGTCCTTCTCTCTCACGAGTCTTCTTTCTTCCCGTTCCTGGTCCTTTTCATACTGCTTTGCTGCGAATTCTAAGGCTTCCAGTCCAGATAGACCATGTTTTGCAGCTAGTTCTATGTAGCGATCCATTTTCTATCACAGTGTCCTGTCACGGTCACCAAATTATATGGCAGATCCAGCGTTTATGTGTAATTGAATCCGTCAATCAAAGTTTTGAAATGCTATTTACTCGTTAGTCTGAATTATCTTAATTCATTTTTCTTTCATTATTAATACATCAAGTTTCCTGTTCGTCCGTTTTATTCCGTCCTGATTCGTCCTGATCCAGTGTCAATCCGTCCCTAAAATTCCCAGACAAAAATGTACAATTTCATATACACAATCCCGAGGTGCTATTCTGTCAGGCGCTTCCGCCAGACAGTCGATAATGAAATTCAAACTCGCCGAGCTGTAACAGCTCATAAGTATTCCCAGTGGGAAAAGGGCAGTTTTACATGATGCAACTAATTATTTCTACAAATGTTTTGTATTAATTGACTTTTGGGTAACGGGTCCAACTGGTTCCGATTCCAACTTAGACCGGGTCCGACTGGTTCCAGAAATGTTCAGCCGGGTCTGGTTCGAGTCTGGTTCCCAACATTTTCACGTTTTGCCACCTCTAGTTTAAATCTTTTACTAAAACGTTTGGTAGCACGCGGTGGTATACGCTGCTTTGCGCGCAACAAGTGCCGCACTTTCAGCTGCCGAACTATTGCTTTCAAATAAAGTCGCTAGGAACAGCGGAGATCCCAAAAAGTAAACAAAAGTAAAAGTCTAAGAACTTCAGAAAACCGATGAATATTTATCGGTGAAATTTGGTAAATATTCGTTTTTGCTCTTTCTGAACCGAGCGACATCACGTTCGTCGTTCATGCCAATTCATTAACTTTTCTGAAGGTGGGAGGGTCCCTTTAACCCTAGAACGCCTAGGGGGGGGGGGTTGTATCAACCCCCCCCTGAGGTTTTTTCGAAGTGCACGCTAAACGGCTTGTCGTAGCGGGCTGAAATTTTCAATACCCTCTGGGGCAACCTTTGCGCATCTTTTGCCGAAAAAAAATTGATCGGGTCATGTCAGGTCACGGAGTTATGACGTCATAAGAGGTACAGCCTCCGGCCGACAGTTACCAAACGTGTGCGCCGAATCCCTAGGTTTTCTGCCGGTGATACCCACATTGTTTGATGGATCATGATGAAACTTCCCATGCATGTTGGGGCAAGCATTGGCTATCGTGTGGTGCAAGAAAATTGACCGGGTCAGGTCAGGTCACGGAGCTATGACGTCACAAGAGGAACAGCGTCCGGTACTATTTTTGAAAAGCGCCCGAACCACTATTTTGCTAATTCTTGTCACCTCAATGGGAATATGCAGCAATATTAGCTTCTATAGGGAGCAAATGGACCTCCCAAATCCAAAAATACAATCAGATTTCAAAAATTTAAATTTTGATTTTTCGAATTTCTGCCGCCGACTGTGACCTTGCCGACTTCCGGCGCTCCCAACGCGCCATTTTTAGAGCTAGGGAAACGAAATACATACCAAACGATAGAGAATTGATCAAGGAACACGATAGTGAAGGTTTCAAGTCGATATCTCCTACCGTTTTGCCGCAATCGCCGCGGAAAGTTGAAAAAGTTTGATTTTTTCGGAAAATTTGACCTTTGACCGGTCATAAGTAGGTCAAATGTTGACCTAGGACCAAAAAATATACCACCAATCGCGAGATCTCGTTGAGAGCAATCCGTTGGTTTTTTCCGCTAAGCTCTACGACCTTCCGTTTCGAAACGCCAGGGGGGGTCGTAACAACCCCCCCCCCTGGTCGTTCGTGTTATGAGAAATGGCCTGGTCGTGCGAGGGTTAAGATCAGCAACCATGGGTGAAGATAAGCAATTCGGTTCAGCTTCGTGACTTCACCGTAATAAAGCAATGGGGGAAAGGTGCTGACCCATCCCACTTTGAGCAAACGTACCAAAGCCAAGATATATTTTCAGAATCACGTTATCTCCACCAGCTGCAAAGGGCATTCGACAGGGTGCACCTGATGAGCAATGATTGCTCGAAAGGTCATGTCGAGTCATAAAAGGTCACAAGCGACGGTCCGACCACAATGTTTACCTAATAGACGCACATCCTAGAGTGAGCAAAATCCTTCAGATATGGTCAGCTGAGCAATAGTACGAATCAGACATACAGGTTGACATCACCCGGATTAGGTCATAACTTTGACCTTAGGTCAAATTTTCAGGTTCACCATTAAAGTCAAATAATGCTCATTCGACGCGTTTATAGGTACGAGGGAGACACGATGTTTGTGCGATCGATGGATCGTACGAGCATTGTGTGTGTGTGTGTGTGTGGGGGGGGGCTTTTGCAGTTGAATCATTGTTTCACCAAAACGTCAATTCTGTAGGTGTTTGCCCTGTGTATTGTACAGGTTAAACCGTTTAAAAAAGGGTTAACTATGAGGTCATGCAAAAAAGCACATTCAGCGGAGCTATCGAATACGCACTACATAGTTCGTGACGCTGTAGTTAAATTTGACCTTGGATGAGCTCCAGTGACCTCATAATCAGCCTTAGCAAAAAAAAAAAATGTTTTCTTCTTTTGGATGTAGATCGATATGCAGAAAGTCCAAATGAGCAGAAGCCACCATATCACCATATCGGAGCTCCTTTGACGTGAAGAAGAACGTAACGCCATTCCATAACCGATATGGAATTATGTTTGTTACGAGACACGCCGTTATCATTTCAGTACAATTTCCGGCCTGTAGCTAGGCGGTCGCTGGGGCACCCGGCCGATCCTGCCCGCCCGTCCCGCCTACACCCGCCCGTCCCGCCTACACCCTCCCGTCCCGCCTACATCCGCCCGTCCCGCCTACACCCGCCCGTCCCGCCTACACCCGCCCGTCCCGCCTACATCCGCCCGTCCCGCCTACACCCGCCCGTCCCGCCTACCTGCGTGGTCCCTCATGGGGCACCCGCCCGTTCGGCCTACCCTGAGAGGTCGCTCCGACACCCTCCCCCCCCCCCGCCTACCCTCGCCCGTTCGGCCTACCTGAACGGTCACTCCGCCATCCGCCCTCCCCCTCCTTCCCCCGTCCGGCTCACCTGAACGGTCGCTCCGGCACCCGTCCCCGAACCGTGATGCATTTGAGGCTGGACAGCTTCCACGGCAGACACTCGTGGTACGGCATCGCCTGAAACACACAATCAAAATTATCAACACCAATCGCTGCACCGTTTAATTGTGTCTAGGCATATGTATCGATAAACTGAGCATACGTTGCATTTGTCAGCGCATCGCGCCGTCCGACTGCTGATACCCACATACCGGCAAGACGTCCACGGCTGCTGACTTATCAGCCGCGGTGCGGACGCTCCCAACGGACGAGGCCTTGCACGGAGCTATTGATTCAGCAAAGGAACGTCCCGGACCAGTACAAGTGAGAAGGAAGTGGGACTGTCTGCAGACGCCGAGCACTGAGCTGTGCTCAGGAACGGGACTGAAGGCGGCAAACTGCGCAGTGTGAATCACCGCGGGCCCGGCAGTCGGAACCATCCCGGCGGCCAGCGGCCCATGCCAGTACCATAAACACATTGTGCAATTAGCACCCACCGGCGGACGGGCCGGTCGGGAATCCCCGCAAGTGTCCCGCTCCGTCCCGCCCCGCCCCGTCCCGTCCGCCCTGCGCCGCGCCGTCTCGGCCGGCGGCGGCCCGCTCTCACCTGCATGGTCCTGCCGTGCCGGTCCCCCCCGCCCAACCCGACCCGTGCTCCCGAACCGTGCTCTCAACCCGTGCTGTTCCGTCCTTACCAGCATCCTGCCGTGTTGGTCGGTGGTGGCCCCTCCACCTCCCCCCGCCCCCGCTCCCGTCCTGGGCTCTTACCAGCATGGTCCTGCCGTGTTGGTGTCGGTGGTGGCCCCTCCACCTCCCCCCGCCCCCGCTCCCGTCCTGGGCTCTTACCAGCATGGTCCTGCCGTGTTGGTGTCGGTGGTGGCCCCTCCACCTCCCCCCGCCCCCGCTCCCGTCCTGGGCTCTTACCAGCATGGTCCTGCCAAGTTGGTGTCGGTGGTGGCCCCTCCACCTCCCCCCGCCCCCGCTCCCGTCCTGGGCTCTTACCAGCATGGTCCTGCCGTGTTGGTGTCGGTGGTGGCCCCTCCACCTCCCCCCGCCCCCGCTCCCGTCCTGGGCTCTTACCAGCATGGTCCTGCCAAGTTGGTGTCGGTGGTGGCACCTCCACCTCCCCCCGCCCCCGCTCCCGTCCTGGGCTCTTACCAGCATGGTCCTGCCGTGTTGGTCGGTGGTGGCCGGCGCCGTGGCCGTAGCCAGCACGGCCGCCCCCGTGTACTCGAGCGGTCGCTGGCGCTCCGTCCGGCAGCACTCTGCACAGCTGCGGCCGCAACACAGACCCATGGCGAGCGGCGAGCGCGCCGGCGGCGCCGCTCCGGCATCCGCTATCGGCGGCAGGGGCGGCGGCAGCGGTGGTGCTGGGAACACGGGCACAGTGTCAGCTCCGTACCTTACTATCCGGGATAGCTGTCTGATCTCGCAGATCGAGCCCGGTCCGCTAGACACTGTGGACAGGTGATGATGTTCACAAACTTCCCCCCTCCAGAGTCCAATCATGTGTTCATATACATATCTCCCTCCCTCCAGAGTCCAAGCCAATCATAACCAACACGCGCGACTCGTGTCAACTTCACACGTGAAAATACTCGGTTACTGTTTTATCAATGGAATCGGCGCCTCATGGGCCTTGAATTGTTGGAAGTGTATTTTTAATACAATTATTCATCAAATGTGCTGTGATTATCCAGTGTGGCCAAATTGGTGATGTTGCGGGGAAAGTCACCCCCAATGAAAAGTATAATGACATCCTCAGAAATTTTAAAATTACATCATCACGACGTTTTTGTCGTGAAAGCATACCTATGTAGTGTAGGAATAAAGACTAAAAATGTTCCAATGTACGATTCGCACCGTCATACTCGTGCTGTCGCGCTTGCAATGTTTTTTTTTTACATCTTTAATGACAATATTCGGAGTTTTTTGTACTTTCCACCAGAACTTGACGTCAGGTATAGTTTTTCCACATTATCTGTAAAAACTGCACCTAAATTGAGGCAGAAGACGAGTTTTTTGAAAATAGTGACATCCTCGTACGACTTTTTTATACATCCTCCCCCTAACGCTAAACCAATTTGGCCACACTGTGATTATCTAAAACAATATTATATAAGAATATCTGAAGGATAAGCTGAAGGATTATATAAGAGTCTGTGTATAAGAATTTCTTCACTTCTGTTATTCAGACACAGGGGCGTAGGCAGGGGGGGGGGGGCCACTGGGCCATGGCCCCCCCCCCCCCTTGGGCGCCGAAGGCGCCCTTTGCGATTGGAGGGCGCCGAAGGCGCCCTCCAATCGCAAATGCAATTGTAATTGAATCGAATCGAAAAACAATCGCGACTGGAGGGCGCCCAATCGCGAATGTGTTTGCAGGGAAAATACGGTTGGAGGGCGCCCACGGAGGGCGCCATTCCAAATACGCACTCCAAATACGATTGGAGGGCTCCCTTGGGCGCCCTCCAACCGCATTTGTAGGCTAAAGCTTTCTAAGCGTAGCGGTAGTCGCCTATGTAAGCCTGTTGATCGCTACCCTCCTACCCACTGGCGCCCTCATTTGATCGTTGTACTCCTACCTATTGGCCCTTTCTGGTAAACAGGCGCCCTCTCACCGGAAGGCGCCCTCCTGTAGGTCGCCACCTTGCCCTACACAATGGTGCCCTTCTGCTGGTCGGCACCCTCATAATTATTGGCGCTCTCCCACCAATTGTGCCCTCGTGAAATTTTCATGGCCGCCCTCCTCCCTTTTGGCACCCTCTTGTTGAGTGCCACCCTTCTAGCCATTGCATGGCGCCCTCTTACCTATTGGTTCCCTAGTCCCTCCTGTTGAATGTTAATCGGGGCCCTTCTACCTATTGGCGCCCTCGTGTTGATCGCCGCCCTCCTACCCACTGGCACTTTCCTGCTAAATTGGCGCCCTCCCCACAGGTCCCCTCCTGTTTAATGTCATCCTCTTGGGCAAAGGCACCCTCCTCACCATTGCCACCCTCCTGTTGAACTTGATCGTCACCCTTCCACTCATTGGCGACCTCTTGTTGATCGCCACCCTCCTATCTTTTGGTGCTCTCCTGTTCCTTGCCGCCCTCTCACCTGGTGGCACCCTCCTGTTGATTGTTGATCGGGGCCCTCCTACCTATTGGCGCCCTCCTGTTGATCGCCGCCCTTCTACCCATTGGCGCCCTCCTGCTGCTTGCCACCCTCCTACCTATCGGTGCCCTCCTGTCGAAACTCGGGATGTTGATCGGGGCTCTCCTACCTATTAGCGACCTCCTGTCGATCGCAGGCAGCCCTTCTACCTATTGGCGACCTCCGTTGATCGCTGCCCTCCTATAATTTATCTACTCCTTTGGCATGTTTCCCAACTTAGCAGTTCTCTTGCACATATTGATGTCTTTCCTGATTTATCTACTTTGTTCATTTGTGGCCTGTGAAAACTGCCACAAATGAACGTGCATTCAGCATAATGAATGAAGCATACCAAAACTGTCTACGCTCTACCATGCATAAAACACGTCTTTGGTCTTAACGGATTGATCTTACTTTACATGCATCATGACATCTATTTTATATGGATCACGATTAAGTATTGTCAACAGGTTCGGCTGCAACAGCAGGCATCAGTTTCGGTGATTGAAGCTGGTTATTTAGGTATTCAACACTGTAATATGCATCTGTGAGAAGGCCATGAGGGCTGGTCGAGGTAATTTGGATGAGAAGCCCGAGGAGGCTAATCAATCTCATGAGGAACAGTCCTGTTATGGTTCACGTATCTTTCTGTTGCTGCCGCCTTCTCGTTGTGCGCTTGTGTTTACGCACCTCGCGCTCCGGTATCAATCCGATATGGTGGTCTGGTGTGTATGCCACCGCCAATAAACTTTTCTACATCGTCACCCATGGGCGAAGCTTCCTATACAGTTTGTGTGGCACCGGCCCCACCAAACCTTAGGTATTTTTACACCTTCAAATTTGGTAAAAGAGCGAGAAGAGCGTTGAACAGTGAGTACGTAAAATATGTGCCTAAAAGGCGGAGGAAAAGATGTCCGTGAAGTTGGCGACGTCGCCAGCGACTTTTCCAGCGACGAGCATCGATTTTAGCCAAAACCTCGTCCAAGGTCAATTGGACCATGAGGATCACGAAAATCGAACCCATTCTCCCCTAAACCTTGACCTTCAAGGTCAAATTCAAGGTCAAAGGACGGGGAACTGAAAAAGTGCCAGTAAATATTGTCCGATTTTCAAAATTTTGGCACCAAACAGTAGCCCGTGCAAAGTTCTAGCCGCACATCGAAAACCATTTTCATCAAGGTCAAACTTCAAGGTCAAATTCAAGGTCAAAGGACGGGGAACTGAAAAAGTGCCAGTAAATATTGTCCGATTTTCAAAATTTTGGCACCAAAATGTAGCGCGTGCAAAGTTCTAGCCCCACATCGAAAACCATTTTCATCAAGGTCAAACTTCAAGGTCAAAGTCAAGGTCAAATGACGGGGAACTGAAAAAGTGCCACTAAATATTGTCCGATTTTCAAAATTTTGGCACCAAAATGTAGCGCGTGCAAAGTTCTAGCCGCACATCGAAAACCATTTTAATCAAGGTCAAACTTCAAGGTCAAATTCAAGGTCAAAGGACGGGGAACTTTAAAATGCTACGTCACCAGCGATTTTTCCAGCGACGAGCACCGATTTTAGCCAAAACCTTGTCCAAGGTCAATTGGACCATGAAGATCACGAAAATCGAAACCATTCTCCCCTAAACCTTGACCTTCAAGGTCAAATTCAAGGTCAAAGGACGGGGAACTGAAAAAGTGCCAGTAAATATTGTCCGATTTTCAAAATTTTGGCACCAAAATGTAGCCCGTAAAAAGTTCTAGCCGCACATCGAAAACCAATTTCATCAAGGTCAAACTTCAAGGTCAAATTCAAGGTCAAAGGACGGGGAACTGAAAAAGTGCCAGTAACTATTGTCCGATTTTCAAAATTTTGGCACCAAAATGTAGCGCGTGCAAAGTTCTAGCCGCACATCGAAAACTATTTTCATCAAGGTCAAACTTCAAGGTCAAATTCAAGGTCAAATGACGGGGAACAGAAAAAGTGCCACTAAATATTGTCCGATTTTCAAAATTTTGGCACCAAAATGTAGCTCGTGCAAAGTTCTAGCTGCACGTCGAAAACCATTTTCATCAAGGTCAAACTTCAAGGTCAAATTCAACGTGAAAGGACGAGGAACTTTAAAATGCTACGTCACCAGCGACTTTTCCAGCGACGAGCACCGACTTTAGCCAAAACCTCGTCCAAGGTCAATTGGACCATGAGGATCACGAAAATCGAACCCATTCTTCCCTAAACCTTGACCTTCAAGGTCAAATTCAAGGTCAAAGGACGGGGAACTGAAAAAGTGCCAGTAAATATTGTCCGATTTTCGAAATTTTGGCACCAAAATTTAGCGCGTGCAAAGTTCTAGCCGCACATCGAAAACCATTTTCATCAAGGTCAAACTTCAAGGTCAAATTCAAGGTCAAAGGACGGGGAACTGAAAAAGTGCCAGTAAATATTGTCCGATTTGCAAAATTTTGGCACCAAAATGTAGCCCGTGCAAAGTTCTAGCCGCACATCGAAAACCATTTTCATCAAGGTCAAACTTCAAGGTCAAATTCAAGGTCAAAGGACGGGGAACTGAAAAAGTGCCAGTAAATATTGTCCGATTTTCAAAATTTTGGCACCAAAATGTAGCGCGTGCAAAGTTCTAGCCGCACATCGAAAACCATTTTCATCAAGGTCAAACTTCAAGGTCAAAGTCAAGGTCAAATGACGGGGGACTGAAAAAGTGCCACTAAATATTGTCCGGTTTTCAAAATTTTGGCACCAAAATGTAGCGCGTGCAAAGTTCTAGCCGCACGTCGAAAACCATTTTCATCAAGGTCAAACTTCAAGGTGAAATTCAAGGTCAAAGGACGGGGAACTTTAAAATGCTACGTCACCAGCGACTTTTCCAGCGACGAGCACCGATTTTAGCTAAAACCTCGTCCAAGGTAAATTGGACCATGAAGATCACGAAAATCGAACTTATTCTCCCCTAAACCTTGACCTTCAAGGTCAAATTCAAGGTCAAAGGACGGGGAACTGAAAAAGTGCCAGTAAATATTGTCCGATTTTCAAAATTTTGGCACCCAAATGTACCCCGTGCAAAGTTCTAGCCGCACATCGAAAACCATTTTCATCAAGGTCAAACTTCAAGGTCAAATTCAAGGTCAAAGGACGGGGAACTGAAAAAGTGCCAGTAACTATTGTCCGATTTTCAAAATTTTGGCACCAAAATGTAGCGCGTGCAAAGTTCTAGCCGCACATCGAAAACCATTTTCATCAAGGTC